ATTTCTTTTCTTAGTTTATTTTCATAAATTCTTTTTCACTGACTAAAGATTTCAAAACTAAAATATCAAACTCTTAATTAGTTGAAACAGCACTTGAATGAATGAATGAATGATGGTAATGATATCCAGTTGTAATCAACCAAGGCATGGGACTCAGTTGTCTTTTTACATACGTGGGTCAGCCCACTTAGGCCCATGATTGAATATGAGGCCCAATAAGAGGAGAGGACGTGGAACAATTTCTGTTCACACGCTGAAGAATTTATATCTTTTTGTTAAGGCATTCGGTTGGGGGAACATGATGCCAGGAATCACATGTTTTACTGCAGAGAAAGAGAACTTATCCCCATGGGAGATGGACCCGCAAAAGAAACTTGTGTATTGGCGTGTTGGAGTAGGAACACCTTGAAAGGACAAAAACATTCCCAAGGTGGGGATGGAGGGAGTTGAGTGCGGGGGAAAAGAAAATCAAGAGATTGATGAAATGACCAAGGAAATGAAAATGCAGACATGAATTTGACATTTCAGATTCTCATGTCAGAGCTGCCACCACCACTCTTTTTTCTATCGGTATTTTCTCTTCTTTATTTCATTTTCCTTTTACAGAATACAGAATACAGATCATATGATCATATATGATAAGTCTTTTATGTAGAAATAAAATTAAAGAAAAAAAGATAAAACTCATTTTGACAGCTTGTAATCGCTACAGTCCAATTGCTGATCCCGAGGATATTCAATCATTAATTTAATACTCTCTTTGTTCATATTCATATATACCTGTTACACTGAGGAGGTAAATAATCAAGACATATTTTAATCTTATTATAATATATTATTATAGTAATCAAAATATTTTAAAAATTTTGGAATATTTTATGAAATTTAAAAAATCTTTAATAAATACATAATAAACTTTCAAAAAAATTTCAATAAATATTTAATGGTTTTTTATAAAAGAATATTTTTTAAAAATAATTTAAATTTAACGTAAGATGTGTGAGATCCATAAATTAAAAAATTAATATAAAATAAACAATTAATTCAATAGAATAGGGCTGTGAGACTCGTAGATTAATAAGTATGGATATACTAGCTATATGGCTTATTGACCCTAGATTTCATTATATTTTATTCATTTCATTATTCATAATTAAAAAGGTATAAAATAGCAAATTAATAATTCCTAAGTACTAAATCTTGGAAGGTTGACATTTAGCAAATTAATAACTCCCCGACTACAAAAGAACCTTGAAATAATTCTCATTAAGTGCTAAATTTAACCTTAACAGAAAATTAAGAAGTTCAATTATATCAAAAATAATTTTTCAATAATTACTACAATTCAATTTTGAAGAGGACTTGGTATCTTATTCATCAGCAATTGAATCTTCCTATTCTATAATACCCATTTATATATATATATACCTTTGTCTGTCCCTCCTATTCCATCGGTTTTTATTTGCATCATTAATCTTGGTTCTTCCATTACTTTTAGCAAATCTGTATTTCTCTCTCTCTTTTTTTTTTTTCTTTTTGTTTATTGATTCGCAATGGATCATAATTTTCAAAACATCAATAAGTTAATTAAAAAGATAATCTTATCCTAGGATTATATTGCTTCTTCATCACATATAAAATGCAATTGCTTCAGAGAAAAATGAGTTAACCAATTCTCTTGGTGCAGTCCCTATTGATATCAATGCAAGTCTACTTCCTATCTTTTTTCAGTTAGTTCAATATTTTAATAAAAAATTGAAGAATGATAAGTATTTAATAAATAAATATGTGGAGAGAAACAATCATAAGCACTAGAAGATAAAAAAAATTTATAATAATGTACTAAAACATAATTAAATACTATGACAATATCCTTAATTACTAACATTCTAAATATTAAGTGATACTTGATTTATAATAAAATAATAATTAAAATAAATAACAAAATGTACTCATGGCCTAGATTTTTAGATTTCCTTTTTATGAAAATTTGTCCTTATTTTTAAAATAAAAAAGATTAAATTTATACACTTAAATCTTCTTTCATATCTACCCTTCAAAATTTTTTTTATGAGTTATTATATTTAAAATTAGAAATTATCAAAAATAATAACTTAATATATTTTTTAATTAATTATTAATAAAAGAATTTATCATTAATAAACTCCTATCCAAATCCAATAGAGATGAAGCGTACAAGGCCCACCTTGATGCCTAATTAGTAATAAAAACGTAAAACCGATCAATCGCAGCCATAAAACAGAGTGGGAGATAATGTAGGTGGTCCGAGATCCTATTCATTGTTTTGTAAAGATTAGAAATTTGGAAATCCTGATTTTTACCCCTTTTTTTTTTTTTATTATGAATATTAAGAAATTAGAAATGTTATGCACTCCAGGCTACATAAAATTAATTGATATGAATTAAAGTTACAGTTGCAAGCGCGCATCATTATTATTAAACTCCAACAATTACAAGTCAATTTCATAGAGTGTTGTTATTATTATTATTTTAAATCAATACAGGGAGTGTTGTTTTAGATAAATAAAAAGAATGCTCAGGTGGACTGAGAAAAGGACATTATAGAAAAGAATTATAATAATAATAATAATAATAAAAACTTACCAGCAAGACTAATACATTTAGGTTCAATTCACAAAGGAAAATGATTGGTATATCGTTGGTTCAACAAATTTTTTGACACACTTTCGATTTAACCATTAAAAATATAATATAAATACAATCAATTTAAATGATTCTTGCTTTTTGTGTGCATGATTGTATATTTAAATTTGTTTACCTTTAATTTTAAATAAAAAAATAGTGATTTTTTAATGAATGTGTTGTGCACTGTGTTAAATCGAATATATATCAATCACTAGCCATTTACTAATTCATATGAACAGATCAATCTTGAGTTATCTCTCTTACATTTAATTAGTCTTAAATCATTTTAAAATTTATTCACTACACAATCATAAATTATAAGTGGTGAAAACCTAATTATCAAATGACACCCTAGGCAAATTCCATACAAATAAAGTTTAGGAGAGATGATGAACATATGGTATCTGAGCTACCTTGCATGCCCTCTTGAATGATAGCGGAGCAAACATTAGTGAGAACATGTGACATCCTTAAGTAAATTTTATATTGACAAAGCATAAGAAAGATATGAGTATATAAGTCAATACCTATTAACCTTTATTGACATGTTTTAAAATCATGTTGCCCAAATAAACGAAATGAATAGTATCAATAGGAGGTTGGGTTGTGCATAAGAATTCTTTTTAGATGATTGTACACGTATTATCATTCCACCAACTTAGTATTTTCATTAACCATAAACCGTGAAGATATTTAAATTAATCAACTTTGCAATATTAAATTCCATCAATAAAAAAAATAGGTAAATTATCATAAACATTAAGAATAAATAGGAGCTAATCTCAATAATGTATTTGTAAAAATTTCATGATAACATGGTAATAAGATGAACAAAATAAAAAAAGGGAGGGAGAGAGAGCAAGACACAATATTGGTGCAGGATAGTGATAGGATATTATGATGTATTAAAACCCCTTAGTCCATGGTACAAAAGCCTTAATGGATTTTATAGGTATTTTTCTTTCAATCATTTATTAGATATGAACCATTTTATTTGTAGGATGAGGGGACACGTAGCATAAAGAAATAATAATTTATTAGAAATATCTTATTAATGAGATTATAGTTAATATCAAATTCTTGAAATCAATCAATTGGTAAATTGACTTCTCCTTGGTTGACAATCTTCGTACTGGTGTGATATTCCTCCCTTCTACAATTGAATCAATCATTATATTTCTTTAGTTTTGCTTTTTTTAAGATAAATTATAAAAAAAAATTAAACATTGTAATCTAGTATTCCATCTCTTTCAAAATAACTGCTGCTATTTGATTATATATATATATATATATATATATATTTTATAGATTTAGAATTTGGAGAGAGTTTATATATATTTTTACATTACCCTTAAGGAAAGAAGTAAAGACAAAGAAAAATTTCTGGTGATAGGACAGTGAATTAAAGTTAATGGAAAACAATAGGGTTAAAGAAAGAAAAATATCTGTCCCCTTTAAAAAATAAAAAATAGTAATTAATTTAAGGCAAATTTTAAGAAATGAAAATTATTTTAAGTTAGAGGGAGTGCAATGTAATTAAATTATTAGAAATTTGACTTTTTTCAACCAACCATTTTTCAGTGCAATTTGCACTAGACAATAATATACTATTTTCCAGCACTAAACACTGAAAATTAAAGTTTGATATAAAATATTTAAAATTTATAAATAATTTTCAAGTGACACTCAATTTCTAGTGCCAACCGCTAGAAAATAATTTAACGCCACAATTTGGTTTGGTGCCTTCTTATTTTCCAATGCCTAGCATGGAAAATAATGTTTTTTATGTTGTTGTTGATAAAGAAAACTTTCAAAAAAAAAATTTTTTTCATCTTTTTTTTTTTTCCAGCACAAAACACTAAAAAATGTTTAGAACAATTAAAGTTAAATGATAGAAATGGGGTGGAAGTTATTTTCCAGTGTTAAGCATTGATTGGAGAATAATCTTGCCGAAGTTGTATAGGTTATTTTCTAGTGCTTGGCGTTGGAAAATACTCATGTCCAATTGGTTTATGTTATTTTCTAGCGCCAATTGGACATGAGTACTTTCTAGTGCTTGGTGCTAGAAAATTAGTTTATTAAGAAGTTTAAAAACAAAATATTCAAGTATCTTTTCTTTTAAAAATTCAAAATCCCATCTCTATTATTTTCTAACGCTTAGCACAGGAAAATAATTTTATCTGAAGTTTGAAGTTCAACATTCAAGCACCATTTTTTTCTTATAAAATTTTCAAAATCCAAGCCATATTATTTTCCAGCACTAAACCATGAAAAATAATATTTATCTATATAAACCTCCAACCTTCCCTTAGCATTTTCTTCTATCTTCTTCTTTCTTCTCTTTCATTTTTCTCATTGCTTATCCAAATTCACTTTCTTTTTTCTCCTCTCTTCCTTTACTCCACTCATATATTTCACTTTGCCATCTTAGTCTTCCCTTTCCTCTTCTCTCCATTTCCTCTTCCTTTTCCTTTTCCATTTCATCTTAATTTCTTCTACTTTCCTTCTTGCTTTTCTCTTGTTCTTTCCATTCCTCTTCCTCTTCCTTTTCCTTTAATATGTTACTTGAAATAAGTGGTACTATTCATTTCAATTTATTGGTAGTTTAATTTTAAATTTTCTTTATATTTTTCTTTGTCAATAAACTCTCATATATATTACTAATCATTTTTTTTTATAAATTTCAGGTATTTTTATGAATTACATGAAGTTGAGGTATATTTATGTATTTAATTTCATTTATTTGGAAATATTTATAAATTATATGTGTTATGTAATGTTTTATACAAGATTGTGTTTATAAAATAAATATATTAAATATAATTGTTTATGTATAATTAATTTTAATTATAAAGTAGTGTTTTATTATTAACATTTTATGTATTTAATTTCTTTAATTTTAATTATTATATGTGTTGCATGTTTGTTTAATGTGTGTTTTAGATTTATATATATATAATTTTTTATATAATCTTTAATAATATATATAATATTTTATGGTTAAATTTATTTATATTTAATATTATTTTATATTTGTAAATATTTACTAATTGGATATAATTATAGTAATGTAAAAATAATTTTTTTAAAAAATTTTCTAGATATCATTTTTCAACGCTCAGCGCTAGAAAATAATGGCTATCTCTCTAAAATATCAATTATTTTTCAGCATTGAACACTTGAAAATAAGTGATAACGACAGCTTAAAATGTATTATTGGTTTGTCACTAACCGTTATTTTTCAACGCATAGCATTATAAAATATTAGTAAGTTTTTCCAGCACATTTTTTTGCATTGAGAAATCATTATTTGGTATGAGTATTTTTCTATCAACATTTTCCAGTGCACACTGCTGAAAAATGATAAATTTTCAATGCATTTTGAGTATTTTTCAATGCAAAATGCTTTGGAAAATAGCTTTTTTTGTTAGTAGTGTAAGTTACAAACAGTGGCAAAATGAGAGGAGAAAAAAACAGTAATGCACTTTAAAATTATTAAAACCACAATCAATTTGAGAGAAAAAAGAAAGGACAAAAAATGACATCCTTTGCAAGATAGATTTAACATTTTTAATGTGAAGATGTTCCCTTTGGGACAATGTTAATAGGGGTGGGGTGGAATTGGCTGCAATTGTAAAAATCTTTGAACACGATTGAAATTATAATTAGTGGGTTGAGTTTGACTAAGACTTCATTTGAAAATGCATTTCAATTACCTTCAATTCAACACACTAATACACTCATTAAAAAATTATTATTTTTATTTAAAATTAAAAATAAATAAATTTAAAAATACAATTATACATACAATATGCAAAAACTTATTTAATTTACCGTATTTATATTATATTTTAATAAATAAAATGGATAAGTGTTGAAAAGTACATTGAACTAGATAATATATCAATCATTTTCTGATTACTTTATGTAATACCCCAAAATTTCTAGAGCATTAAAGTGTGAGTTAGGGACGTAATTGTGAAGAAATATTATTAATGAACTTAATAGCAAAAATTTTCAAAGTTCAGAGACTAAAAAGAAAGGAAATTGGGATAAGGATCAGTTGATATTTTCTCTCTTTCATCCTCAGCCACACGTGTTCAGCTTCATCTTCTACCCGATGCTCTGCCTCCCGAAAGCCCCCCAAAGTCGCCGACTCCCTCCTCCCTTGAAAACCCGGTGAGATCTTGATGAAATTCCCTTCTTTCTTGTTCAATAACAAGATTTAGGACTTAGAACACTCTCCTAAACCCAGAAATTTCCAAATCTGCGCTGTCTTCTTCCCCTCTGTCCGCCGGCCTCTGCTGTGTGGGGTTGAGTTCGGTTTTCTAGTAAGGGGATGGCCATGGATTCCTCTTTTTAGCTTTGATTTGGCTTGGGTTACTCTAATTTTTGTTTTTGGTTCTTGAATTGTTGGTAGTCCGCGAGTTTCCCCCTCCAATTTCCGTCAGCCCTTTTCCCTGCCAGGTCCGGTTCTGCTAGCTGGAATTCTGGTATGTTGACGGCCCCATTAAGTTTGAAATTACCCATTTAATTGCTGGATTTTGTCCATGTGGTGGCTGCTCTGTGTTGTCCGAAACTCTGCCGAAAATATGGAAGAATTTGGCAGCTTTAAACTATGTTTTTAAGCTTGGGTTAAGTATAAATTGCTTGATTTGGCTGCTGTGAATTTTCTGGAGCAAATCCCATGTCTTAGGTATTGTTTTGCAAAAGACAATTGATTGTATACAAGTCCTGTTCCTCCATTTTTCTGTCTGTGGAAGTAGAAATCCAATTTGGGTTTTCCTAGTTGATGGATAAATGTAATTTAGGAGCTTTTGAGTGAAATTAGGGATTGATCTATTGATTAGACTTGGGTTTAAGAGGGTTTGTGACCATTTTGCTCATAAGTTACATTTACTGTTCATGAGCACTGTTCACGAGCACTGTTCACGAGCACTGTTCACGCGTTGAATTTTAATTAATTGGAGTGAAAGTCTCATGGAATACGTTAGTTATGGCATTGGATTAATTTTGGTCCAGTGGTGATGTATTATTGATTGGGGTTTTGTTTGGTTGTTGAGAACGTGATGGGAAAATGAAAAGAGAAATGGTTATTAATTCTTGAATATTTTGATTAGGTTCCTGATCGTTCTGTCAGTTAGCACTGAAATCGAGTCTTCGGTTTTATGCGAGTGAGGTAAGTAAATTATGGTAATGTCTTTCGATTTTAAAGCATATTTTAACTTGTTTTTGAAATGGTAGCGGGACTAAACCCGTTTTACACAATATGAGCATGACTGATTTGAAATGAAATTATTATGTTTTCCATTGAATTGAGCATGCCTACTTGAAGTTTATTTAACTGCCCTAATGATCTAGAAATGATGTGTAAAGTATGGTTTTTCTGTTAACTTTTGCCTGTTTTGTCTTCGATGTGATCATGTTATTAGTGACCCTGCTAGTGAGGGTTTATAAACGCTAGCATATGTCGACATGTTATTGATAGAACCGGTTCGTTTGAGTGACCCTGCTAGTGGGGGTTATACACCAGCAAATAGTGCGCTTGCCAATGGGCGAATACATTGGTAATTACTTACGTCTGCTAGTAGGTGGTTTATAACACTGGCCATGACCTATAAAGGAGATGTCTATTTTCGTTTTCGTACTGTATCCGTTTTTCGTGATTACACTTGTTGGTATGCTATAAGTTTAATAAGGGGCACTCCATATTTTACTTACTGAGTTTATCCCATAGTTTTTCTTTGTCCACCATTTCAAGAAGCGAAACTGAGGACGGGAAAACCACGGGAAGTGACGAGTTAGAAGGCTAGCCATTTCGAGATTGATATAGATTGTAGAAATAAATCATGCTTTTGTAAGATAGATTTTACCTTGAATTTATGAGATCAAAACAGATTTTGGTCATTAGATCAATTACTTGGATTTAAGTTATTTTGGATATAGAAATAAATTAAGATGTTTGATTTAAGTTATGGAGTGCTATCAGATTGTGATATGATTAAGTTCTGAGCTTTGTGGGTTAGTGGGACCTTTCACAAGTGTACGATGTTTGTCACGTCCTCGGATTTGGATTCTGGGATGTGATACTTTAATTTTTGGTTTTTTTATCTTTTCATTATCTTAAAAATATATGAAATATTAATAGAAATAAATATTAAATATATTAAATATATTTTTATATATTTTAATGATATTAAAATACCAAAAAACTTATAGTTATAGCTACTAGGCAGAACTTCCAAACTAAATCTAAATTTCGGTTTTTTTTTGCTTCTATTAGAATCCAAATCGAACAAATTTCAATTGGTTTGGTTTTTGGTTGTTTAATCTAGAAATCAAAAAATTGATGATTAGATCCAGCATAATCGGAAAAAGGTAACTCAAAAACCTCCTTTAAAAATTTTTTTATTGGGTTCCAGATTTCTCGCCATTTCTTGCCAAGCTATTTCTTTGCTTGGGCAATTTTTTTATTTTTTTTATTTTTTGAACATATTTGCAAGGGGCGGGTTTCGAACCCAGCCCGGGGAGGGGGGAATGCATCGAGGTGGCTATTGCCACTAGGCCTCAAGGGCCAGGTCTTTGCTTGGGCAATTTTGTTTTTATAATGATTGATATTTTAATAAAATATAGTAATTAAAATTAAAAAATATAAAAAATTTAGGGGTTTTTTTTTTTTTTT